GGAGGGGCTTCCTAGACGAGTGGGTTAGAGAACATTAGGGCTGTTAAGGATTGAGGAGAGATTCCATCTGCTTCTCTCCCCACCCGCACCCCCACCCCTACTCCCAACATATACATACTAAGACACTTAGACCTCCCACTATCTTTCTCTGGTCCTGTTTCTCCTGGGGGAAGGGAGGACACTTGGGATGACCCTGTCCTTCACTAGTATTGGAATTCTGTGGTACAACCCTGGGGGCCCCCTGGAGGAGAGGCCTGGAGGACAGAGATCATTTGGATAACTGGATTCATTTACGCTGGAGAGTGGTCAGGTCAGGTTTTACCTTACCATTAATTAGGCTCACTAACTAATGAATTGAAATTTCATGAGAGGGAAGGGCAGGCTTGGAGATCAGAAGTCAGACCAGGACCTAGGGAAGGAGAGGTAAAACCTGTCCTGTCCCTCTAAGGCTGTTCTTCCCCTAATAGGGCTCTTTGGGTCTTGGATTCTTTCTTTCACCCTCACCTTTTCTGGACAGGTTCCTTGTGCTGCCCTGGGGCATGGGTGGCCCTAGTATAGCATCTAATAGGGTCATTAACTCTGTCCCAACTGCTTTTGATCTTTGGCTCCTCCCCTAGCTCTCACTACTTGGAAGCCAATCTCTAGCCTAGAAGCTGTGGTTCTCCCCTGCTATATGTCCTGTCAGAGACAAAGTCAGAAGACATTGCTTCAAGTCCTAGTTCAATCTTTAACTCATTGTGCAACTTTTCCAGTTCTGGGCCCCAGTCTTCTTACCTGTAAAATTAGACCATAAATTAATTTCTCTAGCCCTAGTGGGAGGGGAAGGAAGAATTAAGGAGCTACCGTCCAAGGGGCCATCCACAGGTGCTCAGAAAGTCCTTAAACCTGAGAGGGGGAGACTATGGGGCTAGGATCAGGGTGAGCTAGACAGAACACTTAAGGGTTCTTAGAGATCCAGGGGTCTCCCTCCTCCCTTTTGTGATCATATAGGGTATCAAGTCCAACCCTCTAAAAATTATACAGACGTGAAAACTGAGACTCAGAGGGGGAGAAAGACTTGCCTTAGGCTACACATTGAATGAGGGGCAGAACTGAGCCCAGACCCCAAGTATCTTGGCTCCCATTGCTTGAATCCTATTCCCTTCCCCCTACAGGTTGTGGCTGTGGTAATGGATGTGTTCACAGACATGGAGCTGCTCTGTGATTTGATGGAGGCTTCAGGACGTCGGGCTGTGCCTGTTTACCTGCTGCTGGCTCAGGACAACTTGCACCACTTCCTGGAGATGTGCTACAAGATGGATCTCACTGGGGGCCACCTGACGGTCAGTGGACACGGGTAGAGTCAGTCAGGCTGGAGATACCAGACTGGGATCAGCGAGGTGTTGGAGCAGCAGGGTCAGGATCAGATCAAGGATAAGTAGGAGCAGGGACCCCACTTTTCAGTAGTAGCAGGCTTAGTTGACTTAGAGATGAAGATCGAGAACAACAATTTCAAGGTTATTCAAGTTGTTGCCGTTTACTGAAGCTATCTCCCATACTTCACATATGCTCCTTCTTCACCTCTACCCTTCAGAATCCTTGTCCTCCTTCAAGGCTCACATCAGAAGCCACCCTCTCTGTGAAGTCTTCCCTGATTCTCCAAGTGCTCTAGCCCACCTCTGTTATGCCTGGAGTTCTCTGATCTCTCTTTGACCCTCTGCATTCTCTACTGTATATTACACCTATTGCATTCATGTGTTAATCTCCCTGTAAATTATAAGCCCCTGAAGAGTTTGCATAGGGCCTTCCTTGCACATTGTAAGTGTTTGACAAATTTTTGTTGAAACAAAATTAATTTAATTGAGTTGGCCCTGGGTGGTTCAGGATCTAGGGTTAGCAGGAAAAGTCTTTGAGGCCAGAAAAGTGCCTCCTGACGCTGCCTCTCCTCCTGAGTTCTAGAACATGCGTGTGCGGAGCATTTGCGGGGACACCTACTGCAGCAAGGCAGGACGACGCTTCACAGGGCAGGCGCTAGAAAAATTTGTCATCATTGACTGTGAGCAGGTGGTGGCTGGGAGCTACAGGTATGATGGAAGGAACAAGGAATGAGGAGTGACCTGGGTAGTAGAGGAGGGGAGCTGGGGTCCCACCTCTTGCCTATAAGATGATCTCTTCTGCATACTCATCAGAAATGGAGCTGACACTGATGGTCTAATCCCTGTTTTACAGAGGGGAACACCTTGGCAGAGAAAGGATATGGCTAAGATTACATGGAGTCCATAGCAGAACTCTGCCCCCTGCCCTGTGCTGTCCTCCTGCCCCTAGAGGGCCCCTCTCACCAGCTCACCTTTGGATTGCTAACCCCTTGCTCTCTCTGCCTCCTCCTAGCTTCACATGGCTCTGCAGTCAGGTTCACACCAGCCTCGTGCTGCAGCTTCGAGGCCGCATTGTTGAGGACTTCGACCGAGAGTTCCGCTGCATGTTTGCTGAGTCTCAGACTGTGGAGGGCTTCTCTGGCGGGGAGGAAGATGTCTTGGCTCCTCGGGCTCCCTGCCCACCCCCACCTCCTCTGGCTTTTGAGTCAGGCCTCCCTAGTTCACCGTCTACCTCACCAGTTGGCCCTAGCCTTGGCAGTGTCAAATGTTCCCCCCTTACAAGCTCTTCCTACTGTGGGCTGCCTGGAGGTGGCGGTGGCATTGGCTTCAGTGGTCTCGTGGCTTCCGGTTCCCCTGCTCCTGGCCGTCGCCAAGCCAGTGGCCCCTTTCCCTTGCACCGGCGATTATCAGACCCCAACCACAACCCAACTACAGCTTATCGACCCAGCCTGGGCACACTGGGGACAGCTCCTTGGGCTCAATCATCGCCAGCCCTCAATCAGGAAGGACTAGGGTTAGGGCTTGGGCTGGGGGTAGGACCAGTAACAGGACCAGGGCTAGGGAACCCTCTGTTTTCTCGCCAGCTCCACCTTGTGCCCCTTCCTCGACTTCCAGAGAATGGGCTTGCCCATAGCCAGGAGCCCAGCCTACCCAGGGGCCTCTGTGGAATGCCTACGCTAGCCCCAGAAGTGAGTCAGAAGCCATTACAGGAGAGGAAGCCATCCCCTCCCAGCTACAACTATGGACGACTGGATCTCCTCCCCAGGGGTTCTCAGACACCTGGTTCTGGGAACCCAGGCTCTGGGGACCATGCCAAGGTCAGGGAGCAGTCTGTGGATCAGAGGCGGCCAACTCTGGGCCAGCTGGACCTTGTGGCTAAATATGGTCCATTCCGGATGGAGGGGACAGGCCCAGTTAGGACCTCTACCCCAGATTCCATGGGCAGAGCCAAGGTGGCCTCTGAAGATGAGAAGCGGCTGACCCTGGGCCACAGCAAGTTAGACCTCATCACCAAATATCACAGGCTACAGAGGATAAAAAGGAACCCGGACCCAGGTGTCCCTGGCATCCCCAGTGTTCCTAGCCCACGGGAATCTGTTGTTTCTGGTGTACCTATTGTCCCTAACCCACAGGAGCCCAGTGTCTCCAGTATTCCTGGTTCTCAAGCATCCTGCATCCCTGCTGGTTCCCGGAATCATACTCCTGGGGATGAGAAACGTCTGACTTTGGGTCATAGCAAGCTGGATCTCATCACTAAATATAACAAATCCAAGTTCAGACTAATTCGAAGCCGCTTTGAGACCTAAGACCCCTTTGCCTGCCTCTCAGACCCAGGCTCTACAGGAAACACCTGTGACTAGTCACAGTTCATTGCTGGTCTGACTTGTCACAGATGCAAGGGTTAGAACCAGAGGCAAGTGTCACCAGGGGCCAAGGCTACTATTCCCTCAATCCTACTGACACCTAATGTCCCTGACACTTAACCTCTTCACCTAAAGTTCCAACCTACTGATCCCAACCCCACTAACTACAACCTCATTTCTGACCTACTGACCCTGCTCCCCCATCTTCACCCCACTATGGACTGTATTTATCCACTGATACTCAGCCTCACTGAACCCCACTCATCTGACTTCCCACCACAGCGACCCTGATTTGTGACCCCAACACACTCACAGATCAACCAGTATTTATTGATCCCTCCCTTTGTGCTTATTAACTATGTTCCAGGTGGGGGGAGAGAGGCAAAGGTTGTGGATAGAATTATCACAACTAAGGTAGTGAGCTCTCTATCATTAATATGATCCTATCTGAACAAGGCTTCCTTATCCTCTGAGGTCCCTGACCCAGAAGCAGGTGAGGACACATATTCTGCAGGATGGAGTCTGGAAAGTAAATTGCCAGATTGTCCTGCCTGGCTCCTGGGGCTGCTACTAGAAGGAAAGGGAGAGAAGAGGAGGACTAGAAGAGCCCCCCAAGTAGGGGAAGGTACTTCAAGCCAAGGAGACGTCCAGAACAAGGATGCAGCAACGAGTCGGTCCGACCCGACGAGCACGCAATACATGCAAACTCCCACCCCCAGGGTCACATGGGACAACCCTTTCCCTGGGCCACATCAATGTCTAGTCACAGTGTAAATTAACACAAATAAACTTAAGCGTCCCTGACCAACACTCGACTGGTGTGACCTGTGGGAATCTGGGACTGGGAACTTGGCTCCTTCTAGGTCAACCTGGGGAGAAGACGGCAAGATTTTTATTTCAAAGATGAGCCGGGGCAGGGTCCGGTGGAGGGAAGAGGCGGAGGCGAGGACCCAGGGAGGCAGTGGGCGGGTCTGGGAGGGAAGGAAGGCGTGGGGCGTGATGGCTGAGGAAGAGGCGGGGCAGAGTGACGTGAAGATCCGGAAGGGGCGGGGATCCAGCAGAAGTGACAGGAGCGGATTGGAGTAAGGAGCGGTCACTGAGCCCCGGAGGTCGCTCTTCACCCAGTCCCATCCCGCCGAAGATTGGGAACCACCTAGTGGTCCCGGAGTCCCCGGCCAGAGCAGCCCTATAGGGGCCTTCGTGCCGGAAGTCTTTTAGTTCAGGAACGGAAACGGAAGCGAATTACGAGAGCGCCTCGTGCAATAGCCTTTGCCCGGTGAGCCGGCTCGGCGATGGGCCCCGAGGGCCTAGGGTCAGGGGAGGAGGAGAAGGGAGCCGGGGATCGATCGTGCTGCCGGGCTGAGGCCGGAGGGGCCGAGCTCAGGCAGCCTTGCAGGAAGGCGGGTGTTGGGTACGGCTTCGGGGTCGGGGAGGGGGGATCTCGAGGGAGCTGCGGCTTCCTGACCCCCCCGACCCGCCGTCCCTAGGCCTCATGGCGGTCCGAGCCTCCTTCGAGAACAACTGCGAGGTCGGCTGCTTCGCCAAGCTCACCAACACCTACTGCCTGGTGGCCATCGGCGGCTCGGAGAACTTCTACAGGTGGGGCCGGGGAGGGGGGGGGGGCCTGCCTCTCGGGATCCTGTAACTCTAAGCGAATCCCGTCCCCGCTCTGGGCCTCAGTTTCCTCATCTTTACCATGGAGCTGGTTGTCTTCGTTCAGCCTCCCTCACAGACTGGTGTCAAGGATTTCAAAAGGCACTGGAGAGGGAGCTTTAGAAGGAGACTTGAGTTTCTGTAAATAAGATCTATTTGAGCTCCTCCGAAGCTAAGAGCTTAAGGTTCAGGAGGAGTGTGGCTGACCTGGGAGGGAGGGGGGAGGAAGAAGCCCCGCAGCCCCAGAGAAGGGTCCCCATGGGCCCTTCTGGGGTATCACTCAGTGACCTGTGGGCTGACTGTGTGTTCGCAGTGTGTTTGAGGGCGAGCTTTCAGAGACCATTCCAGTGGTGCACGCTTCCATCGCCGGCTGCAGGATCATTGGTCGCATGTGTGTGGGTATGTCTGGCCCTAAAGGCCTGGGAAGGGGGGTGGGGGGGAATTTCTGGGTGGTGGTACACAGTCTTTGTGACTCAGAAGATCCCTACACCCTAGTTATGTCATCGCGGGCCGTTTTGATTTTCATTGCATTGAGTAATGCATCGGTGGTGTTAGTTTTGCTCCCAACCCATGGAGTCTTTAGGCATCAGAGGATTTCCATTTAGAGTTGTATTTGCAGTTGGTGCTACAGTTAAGGATAATATTTGAGTGTATTATCTGCTAGCCGTACACACTTTCTTCCCTTGAGCTTGAAATGGGTAGGAGTCTGAGATAGCAGATTTGGACCTTAGAATGAAATAATTTTATCGTTAACACAGCAGTCTGGGCAGTGCCCATTTTGATTTTTTTGCCAGGACGTTTGGCACCTAGGTGGCTATGAGAACTCATATTCATTGGTTGAATTAATTAAAAACTAATGACTTACAATGTTCAGATCCCCGTGCTGGGTGCTAGGATGGTACACTGGTCCTCAATATTGAAGAGGAAAAAGGAGGGCTTGGGGGCCTATGGAGCCCGGTCAGGAGGTAATGTGTCCCTTTATGAATGACAGAGAGAAGTCAGGAGGTGCTGCTCCTGTGCCTCCTCCCTCCCCAGCTTAGTGGTTGTTTTCCTTCTGGATCTCACCAGGAAACCGGCATGGCCTTCTAGTGCCCAACAATACTACAGACCAGGAGCTGCAGCACATCCGAAACAGCCTCCCTGACTCTGTGCAGATCCGACGGGTAGAGGAGCGACTCTCAGCCCTGGGCAACGTCACCACCTGTAATGACTATGTAGCTCTCGTTCACCCCGACCTGGACAGGGTGAGGAGGTTTGGGCAGTCAGGTCAGGTTGGCACATGGACATGATATCCTCTTAGTCCTTAGGTAGTCTGGTGGCAGTGTCTCATTTGGGTGCTGAAAACATCAACGTGTCATATCATCAGTATGGACAAAGTGATGTGTGTAGTTTTTGTAAAATAAGGAGATTGAACCTTATGTGGTTTCTAAGGTCTCATCTAACTTTAATTCTCTGAGTCTGATTCCTGTGCAGGGTTATGGTGAAGAAGATTAGATAAATATGGTCCTTGTCTCCTAGAAACTTCTCATCTAGATGGGGAGACTGACTAGGCATACAAAGGATATTGAGCTTCTTTGGGCTTCAGTCATTTGGCATCCCAAAGTTGCATATGACTTGAATTGGAGAAAAGCTACAATTTAATTCCAAAACAGGGCTTTTGGAAGTGGGATGCTTAACCCTTCTTTAACATCTGTTTTGAAGAATAGACACTAGTAGAGCAGAGAGTATTTTGGTTTTTTAGTCAGAGGACTTAGGTTTAAATCTCAGTTCTGTTACTACTGAGTTTCTTTTACTACTAATTTTCCGAGTTCTGCTTGGAAAATTCTTCTCTAGGCCTCAGTTCCTTATCTGTAAGATCAGAGGGTTGGACTGGATGGCCTCTTGAATCCTTTCCAGCTCCAAATCTATGATTCTGTGAATGTTCTGGCTCTATAGTTGGGGGGATAGAGACTGTGGTGATCAGCCCCAGGCACCTTTAATAGAGCTGCTGGGGAATGCTGATCTAGAGCCACGTTGGGGCACCAGAGAAGTGAACTGGTCCTTTCTGCCCTTCATCCCCATTTCTCAGTATTGACTGAACATAGATACAGCTAAATCTTCCATTCTTCCTTGGGTGGGAATGTGGATGCTGATAAACATGAAGACATTGGAGGCCTGGTATTTCTTCACACTTCCGATGAGCTAGGGTTCTGAACTCTGTGTGTCTACACTCACAGGAGACAGAAGAAATTCTAGCTGATGTACTCAAGGTTGAAGTCTTCAGACAGACAGTGGCTGACCAAGTGCTGGTGGGAAGCTACTGTGTTTTCAGCAATCAGGGAGGGCTAGTGCACCCAAAGACTTCCATTGAGGACCAAGATGAATTGTCCTCCCTTCTCCAAGTTCCACTGGTGGTGAGTACCTTTCCCTCTGCCCGCAGGCCCAACCTGTTCCAATTTTTGCAGGTTTAGCCAGGACTAACCCTGACGCCTCAGAGTTGAGTCACCACCCTATATTCTAATGGGGCAAAGGTGTTCAGAGTCTCCCACTCCATCTCATAAAAGCAAAGCAAGCCAACACCTGCCTTTTACCAAGGGGTGCATCAGTCACCTTAACTAAGCTTGGCTGCTTTTTTATGATTGGCCAGGGACAAGAGCAGCTATGAGCATAAGGAGTGGGCATGGAAGCTGCTACATGGTGCTCTGTGTATTCCTCCCATCACCCTGGGAAGAAGAAACCTCTCAGAGCTTCCAGCTCTGGATTTTTAGTGATTTATCACTTTTTAATGATTTCCCTGATTTTGTATTAATGGTTATTTTTTTTTAAGTCTGGGTACTGTTTTACCGATTTTGAGCTGTGGAGTATAAATGAAGATGTATGTAGGTCTGGGGATAGTCATTTAATAAGAACAAGGATCTTTATGACCTTGAGCTCATGAGAAATGCCGGGTGAGGACTGAAAGGACAGCTCTGAAGAGTCACAGTATTGATGACATCCAGGATCAAGGACTGCCTCTTAGGGCCCCCAGGATTGGAGACTTGCTATCCACATGTAAAAACATTGAAGAGGGGGACATTCTGGTACACACTGGGTTCTCTCGCAGGCTGGTACTGTGAACCGGGGAAGCGAGGTGATTGCAGCTGGAATGGTAGTCAACGACTGGTGTGCCTTCTGTGGGTTGGACACAACTAGCACAGAGCTGTCAGTGGTAGAGAGTGTCTTCAAGCTTAATGAAGCCCGACCCAGCACCATTGCCACCAGGATGCGAGATTCTCTCATCGACAGGTTAGTGACTCTGCTGTGGCCAGCTGATTCCTGTATCATTGAAGGTTTTTATGGATTGATACGTGTTAAACCAAAGAAACCAGTTCTTCTATAACATAGAGCCTACCTGTATTGATGAAATGACTCAGTTGTAGTTTCTCAGACGTGAATGGTCAGGAACTGGCACAGCTTGGTTTTCCAAGCATCCAGCTGATCCAAGAAGCAAGAGCACACTTGTTCATTTATAGCCCCATTCTAGAATTCCTTTTGTGCTCCAGACAAGAGACAGATATTTAAAGGTATTCTCACAGAAGGGCCAAGGGTTCCCTGTAGAGCAGGGATTCTTAACTTGAGTTCCATGGGTAGATTCAGGGTATCCTTGAATTTGGATGGGGAGAAAAATGACACCTTTATTTTTATTAGTCTTTAATTCTAGTCTCTAATTGAAATTAGCAGTTTCTTCAAAAAATGTTATTCTGAGAAAGGGGTCCCTGGTCTTTACCAGATTGCCAAAGGGGTCTGTGACAAAAAAGGGCAACAACCCCCTGCTGTCATGTAAGGGGAAGGGGTTTAGGGGTTGGCTGAAGAGCAGTGGTTGTAATGGATCTTTTTTCTTTTTTTTCCAGTTTAACCTGAGTGATTGCCTGTAGTTTCTGTTGCTTGGCCTCTTGAATAAGGACTTTGGTTCCTGCTCCAGTTCCAGTACGGTGTGAGGCCCTTCAGAGTCTCTAAAACATCTGCGCTTTGGAGCCTGGACCGTGGGTGGTGGGAGTATAACAAAGCTTCCAAGACGGATCTCCTGTAACTTCATTTTTACTGTTAAAAAAAAAAGCCCTTAAGTGAGTTCACCTTGGTTCTTTGATTTCCACTGTCCTTGTGCTCCATTCCATCATTAAAAGGCACTTGGGCCCTTTGTTAAATATTTTTTTATACTGGCTGCCTAAAATTGTTAAAAGGGACTCTTGGGGAAGAAGGATAGCTCCGAGGAAGGACTCTTGCTTCTGGACCCTGCTCTCAAGCGACTTAGAGGTTTTACAAATGATTATTTGTATTATGTAAATAGCGTATGTTAATGAGAGAGCCAGAAAGTGCTTTGGGAAATTTGATGAGAAGAGTCATCAAAAGTCCCTGGTGGTCTCAGGGAAGGCTTCATGGACAAAGTATTTGGGTTGGGTGTTAATGGAAGAAACATCAGCAGATGAAGATAACTTGGGAGAGCCTACTCTAAACCATGGCATGAGCCAAGTCCAGGATAAGAACTTCAGGTAGTAGTGTAGACCAATGAGTCAGTAATCATTTTTTATTAAGTGCTGGACATGTATATAAGGAAAGACAAAAATATTTCTTAGGTAGGAGGTGCAGGAAAGCTTCTAGCACCTCTCTCACTAGCAGGTTCGCTTTTGATCTGGTCAGAGAGGAAGACAGGAATGAAGTCATAATAAGAGGTTAAATAAGCTTACTTTATTCTAGTCTAGTCTTCTCAAAGGCAATTTGCTGATAATGGGAGCACCAGTTCTTACAGCATTCCCCTAACAACTCTTCTCTCGGCCGGGCGTGAAGGTGGGGCAATTACTCCTCCCTCTCAATGGGGTCAGTGGAAACAAGCAAGACTTGTGTTCTCCCCTAAATCCCATCAAGCCTCAATGGGGGCCAGTTGAGTCAAATACAGACTTCCCCCTCCCGAGTCTTGATGGGGGCCGATCAAGACACACCAAATTCCAGCTTGTGCATTCACCCCCTAAGGGGGGGGTTCCCAGTCACTGACCAGTGCCACTTGCTTTATAGGGCAACAGACAAAAAAGCATATTGCCAGTAATAGCCTCCTCATTTTACAGTACTTCATCGCTATATTTACTGCCACTGTGCAATAGAAACTGTCTTGAACCATGATTGTGAGAACTCGTATCTAACACCTGGGAGGTAGAGATTGTTACAACTATGGATCCTAAGAAGAAAATTCTTAAGAAAGAATAACAAAAAATCCACTTTATACACACTAAAGTTCACCTTACTTATACTTGCCTTTAAGGCTCTTATGTTCTAATGGGAGAGACAACATTCAAAGGATATATACAGTGTAAATGGAAGGTAATCTCAGAGGAAAAATACTAGTAGTGGAGGCTCAGATGAGGAGAGCATTTTAGGCATTTAGGATGCCCAGTTGTGTGAAGAACAGCAAGTAGGTGGTAGGTTAGTACATCTGGACGGTAAAATTCCTAGAGTATAGTGTGCTAAAGAAAATTTAAAAGAGAGAGGCCGGGTCGTGAAGGGCTTTAAATGGTCAAATGGCAAACAGCAGTTTTTATTTGATACTAGAAATAATAGAGAACCACGAGTTTTGCCTTGTTGTCACCCTCCACCACCACCCCCCATGACGTTCTCCTGTGGTTTAGGAAAATCGTTGGCACCAGGGGCTAGTTTTGATGGAATTTTGTGAGGCTAGAACTGGTAGGTTAGAGCCAAGTTGGGGTAGGCTGTGAGTGCCAGAAATGGGAGTACATGCATTGTTCATTTAATGGGCATTGGGTACCTACTCACCAACATACTGGAATGGAGCAACAACACAATCAGAATAGTGCTTTAGGAGATTGCTTAGGCAGCTTGGATAGATTAGAAAATAAAAATTTAGGCAGAACCTGAATTAGAGTAGTTGCAGTGGGAGGTGGGGACTCCGAGGGGCCAGTAGCTTTGGGCGGGGGGGGGGGGCTAGAAGGAAGTTCTGAGTCAGGATTCCACAAAGGTGACTTCCACAGGGACCTGTATCCCTTGACCCTGAACCCAACACCTTCACCTGTTTACTTCCTTTATTAACACCACAGTGAGAAGAGCCCTTTCCTTCAACTACCATTTGCTTCCTGTGCTAGATTATTCTTACCAACTCATCTTGGTCTACCACTCAGAACTTCATTAAAATTTCTAACTTTCTTGGTTTGGTCAGTATTAAACTAGCACCAGTGACATTTTCTCACTTGTGAGAAAAGGTTCCCTGCCCCAATTAGGGGCTAATTTCCCCCTCTCACTTGTGTGGAAAGCTATCTGGAAGTGATGGGAAAGGGCCTTGGAGTAGAGTTTTAGTCCCAACTTGGCCACTTAATTTCGTGACCTTAGATGAGTCTGTTTCCTTCTCTGTTTCCTCAATTTACTGTAAAAAAAGTGGACACGCTGGTTGGTTTCTAAAGGCATTTCAATCCCAATCTATGTCAGTCCAACCTCCTCTCCCAGCCAGGAGATTTTGGGTAGTGAATCTACTGTGGTTCATTACTCCCACCGGATCTTAAACTTGACCCCAAACGCACAGAAGAGCTGGCCTTTGAAGCCTAACTAAAAGTATACAGCATATGCAGGGCTTTGTGGGGTGTGGGGCAGACTGGAAGCCTCGCCTCGCCCATTTCTCGCGGAGCAAGGGAGGGCTGTGCAGGAGCAGAAGACACCGAGGAATCGTGGAGCTGTGCTGGCTGATACTTTCCTGGAGACACAGAGACACAGATGCCACTTCGAGGCAGGGCGAGGTGCCCCAGCGTGAGTGAGCTCAATGGAAAGGAAGGCGTGCGGACTCCACCTCCCAAACCTACCCAAGAGAAGGAGGGCCAAGGTGAGCCATATGGCCCCGCCCCGCAATTGAGGAGCGCGTCTGTAGATTCTCGTTAACGATTGGCTGCGAGGGATGCGTCCTGATGTAATGACCAGAAGCCCTCGGAGCCCCAGCACGCAGGCGCAGTCAGCGGCAGCTCGGAGATCAGATACTCTGAGTCACCTCGGCCGAAGGTGGGAGAAGGGGGCGGGGCGGGACAGAGGGGCTCGCCCCTCCTGGCGGGGCGGGGCGAGCCGGTTTGTGGGGTCGGGGTTGGGTTCTGGGGTGGGGGGGGTTCTGTCCCCGCCCTCAGCTGCCCCTTGCCTCCCCGCAGCCATGGGAGCTCAGCTGAGCGGTGGCGGGGACGGCGACGGCGGACCTCCGCCGGGCCCGGCCCCGGAGCAGCCGGAGCCTGCGGCCCCCGGGGGCGGCGACCCGGCCCCCCGGCCCCGCCCGGACCCCGCCGCCTGGGGGCCCCTGGACGACGTTCGCTTCCTCGTCGTCTGCACCTCCTGGTACTAGCGGGATCCCAGAGCAGCGTCGGGAGCCGGGGTCGCGCCTGCCGAGCCCCCTGCCATGGACACCCCCGACTTTCTTTGCCCCTCTTCACAGCATGATCTCGGGGGAGGAGGTCATCTGGCTGCCACTTCTCTGCTCTTCTGACCCCTGCCTCCCCAGCCGGACAGCCTGCCCGCACACTTACTCTGACCCCTAGAGCCCTTTTGTCTGGAAATTCTTTTGGTCTTCTTGCGGTGGCCAACCTCCTCATTTTCTAGACCTCCCTCTCCTCCAGCAAAGTGCATCGGTCCTTCACGTCTCCCCTGAGACCCCCTCAGCCTGTCTGGTTATTGCTTTCTCCTTAATATGACGCCCCCGTTTCCCAGGCTCAGCCCCACCCACCCTTCTTTCTCCCCCCCTCTAGAGGGCACAGAAACAACTCTCCAGGTCATCACAGATGGTCATGGACTGGAGTCTTTGGACAGCCTTCTTTCCTCCCCGTCCCATTAACTGTGGGATAGTAAGTTTCTCTTGTCCTCAAACACCCAAATATCCCCAGGACTCCAAAACCACTGCTGTCAACCATCAGACTTTTCAGTTCCTCCCCATCCGCATTCATTTCCCAAGGATATTGTATCGTTTGTCTCTCCCCTGCCCTTCTCTCCAAAGAAATGACAATCTGTATATTTTCATTTTATTTAGAAATGGTTTAAAAAACATTATACAAAGGCTGATCAGTTTTAAAATGTGACGGACACTGAAATGCTGCGATGCCGTCCAGGGTGATGGAAGCCCAGACTCTAGGGCACCAGTATGGACGCCTCAGCCTTGGCCAGGACCGGGGAGACACACAGATTATGGGGGAAGTGTGGGGGATAGAGGGAAAGGCAAGTGGGTCAGGAAAAGGGGCCAACTCAAACTCTGCCTCCCACTCCAGTGAGGCCTGCCCCTTCCTCTGCCCCCAGGGCCTCTTCCTCTGTTCCCTTCCTCAGCTATACCCCAGTATCTTCAGGGCTCAGGAGGATCCCAGAGGGGACCACATAGGATTTAGGGTTTTCGGGAGGTCAGAGCAGAGACCCAGGACCCTAGTATGGATCCAGGCATCGGAGAGGAAGAGGGAAGAAAGTGAGGCAGGATGAGATGAGATGAGTGGAGGAGAGGCTGAGCTGGATGGCTCGAGGCCCTCACAAAGCATGGTCTGTGATCTCAGGAGTAGTGACAAGAGGATCCAGGCAGGGATAAGTTGTGAGTAGTGGGGCACAGTGGTGTGGCTTCATTCTCTGCATCGCTATTGGTCAGAAGTGGTGGAAGATACCCAAGGACCCCTCTAAGTCAGGCCTTGCCCTTCAGCCATCACAATTTGGGGCATGGTGTGACAGAAACAGCACTCAATTATAGTCCACCACCAACTTGCCGTGACCCTACTAAGCCATACCCTCTTTCTGGGCCTCATTGTCTCCTCTGTCAAAAGAGGGTAATGTTATTTGCCCAGCCAGCTTAACAGGACCCTTGTGAGTTTCAAATAGGCCAATAGATGTCACCTAATAAAGTGCCTTGAAAAGTATAAAATACTGTATCGACACAAAGATTATGTCTCTGATGCCAGATGCCCCCCCGCCTCAGGGAGCTGGCTCTTGGCAAGAATTGAGGATAAGCACAAAAGGAGAGGATCGGTGACTTGGGAAGTTCATTTGGGAGAATGCCCAAGCTAGGGCAGAGGCCAGCATCTCAACCTAGGGCACCAGTTGGGAATCATCTTCCTCTTCCAACATAAATAAGTCTCCAAAGTTTAAGATGTGACCACAAAAGGAAGAAGATCCACAAACACAGGAGGGAAGCATTAAACAGCCCAGTGGGTGCTCCGTTTAGTTGGCCTGGCAGGATCCCAGGAGACTTCTGTGTCCTACCTCCACCTCCCCGCCCAGGAGGCTTCTGGGTGACCCTTTCATAAAGAACTTTATAGACTTAGCAAATTAATGATTTGGTGTAGAAATCTAGAGCTGGGAGGGATTCAAGAGAGCATGTAGCCTCACCTTCTGTTTGGTCCAGGAACCGCCTCTGTGACGTCCCCGACAAGAAGTCAGCCAGCCTTTGCCTGAATGTTCTTTGTAACAAGAAATTCACTCCCTACTAAGGGTAGCTCATCCCATTATTTGGGCAGCTGAGACTGTTGGGAAGTTTTTAGGCTGAACTGAAATCAATGTCCCTGTAACAATCAGGGCTGAGTTCTGCTCTGTAGGGCCCAGCGGAACAAACTCTTCCCCCACAAGCCTGCTCTTCAAATACTTGAAAGCAATGATCTCAGTTACAGGCTCAACATCCTCCTCAAGATCTCCAGTTCCTTCATCTTCCTGGCTGACCTCCACTTGCAACTCTCCAGCTTCTCAATATTCTTCTTAAAATATGGAGTCCAGAACAACACACCCTGCCTCAGATGTGACCTAACCAATGGGACTGTCAGTGCCCTTGTTTGGAAAGACAGGCTTCTCTAAATGCAGTCTGGGATACCATTTGTTTTTTAGGTTATAATGGACATGCTACTGACTCCTTGAGCGTGCAGTTCAATGAAACTCCCAGATTCTTTTTGGGTAAACTAGTTTAGCCATAACATGCCCCCTTTCTGTACTTGTACAGCAAATGTATGTGTGTGTATTTTTTGAACCAAGTGGAGGATTTTGCATTCGCCATTAAATTTCAGAACTGTACATTTTTATATGTCTTTCTAGCCTGCCAGGATTTTTCCGTGTGTTGGCTGTTTGTCTTGGCTCTGTGTCAACACAGTTTTGAAAGGCATTAGTTATCCATACTTTTGTTCAAGTCAAGACAAAAATGCTGACTAGGACAAGCTTGAGGACAGAGTCCTAGGGCCACTAGGGAAGGAGCCTCCCACCTACTAGACCATAGTTAAGGAAGGAGGAACCAGAAATACCTGCCCTGTCCTCACCCACAAGCAAGGATTCTACAGGGATTTCACATTGGAGACATGGACGTATGGGGAGGGCAGCCCCAGTCTTTCTAGGCTCCTGAGTCTCCAGATATCAATACCTAGGGCAGCCATGGCTTTGTACCAATTCGTTGATGTGGAGAGGGGGCGGGGGAGAGAGTGGAAGGGAATCTCACTTCCTCCTTTCAGCAGTCAGGAAATCTCCATGCCTCTGCCTTGAAGCAATCCACTGGCCTGGTGATCCTCCCATCTCTTGTGATGGGAGTCACGGGTCATGGGCCAGTAGAGGTCTGGAGAGGGAACACACTGCCTCCCTCCAAAGCAGCCCTGTACAAGAAGTCAGATTGTTTATCCTGGGTCAAGCCTGTGTCACTCCTCTCCACCCTTCTTAATTAAATTTGCCCCAGGTGTTAGGATACCAAGTTATGGCTCTGGGCATGTCTGTGCCAGGAGAAGTAGAAACAAGGAAGACCCCCAAGGCTTCGTGTTGGCTTGGCTTGGCCCAAGGGAGGCTAAGTTCACAGGTTACATAGCCTTGGTGCTAAAATGCTGATGATACAATACCTTACATTTGTAATGGAGAGAAAGGAACCTCATTGCCCTGGAGAGAGACCCAATCCAGGCTGTCTGAGGAGCTTAAATTTCAGCTCTATCAATGAAGGACACCGTGGAGAGACCATGAAGGGCATTAGGGGAGAGGGAGAGGGTGTCCAGCCCAGGAAAAGTGGATAGTGGATATGAATGGGTGGGCAGAGAGGTCACTGAGACCAACTATAAAAACCACCTGGAAAGTGGAAATCCTAGTGGAAAAGTTCATATTTTGCACTGGACATTTGGATCTGCCCTACTTCACTATGTGATCCTTCTCTGAACCTCGATTTACCATGAGAAAATTGAACACAGTCTCTGAGATCCCTTCCGGCTCTATGATCCACAATCCTTTTGTGTCTGGAAAGGTTAAACTTGAATTCCCAGAATCTCATTTTAAATGCACTAGGAGATGTTGCAATCCTAGGGAACTCCCTTTTACAAAGTAAAGACTTGTCTACATGTCTATCTGTTCTACAAATTCAGCTTTTCAGGGGCTGGTTTATCCCAAACTGGGCATTCCGGCCTGAAAGCAGAGGCATTCAAGGTACAGCATGCCCGTTGTGAGAGGAGAAGGAAGAAACAAGGAAATGGGCTGAGGCACAGAACGTGTCTTGAGGACAGATAGGAAGCTGAAAGTCCCTCAGGTCTTTCTGCCTAACGGACTTTTGTCTACCTTGGAGCTATCCTGACTAGCTTCAATGAAGCCTGGAGTTTCAGGCAGTCCCTTGCGGATGGCTGGGAGGGGAGTGGGGCAGGGCTCTTCGATGGGAGGATCATTGGGATGACTGAGGGGACAAGGGCCCTGCAGCAGGGGAATCACTGGAATAGCTGGGGAGTGGCAGTGCAGTAGCTCTAAGTGCTCCCTTCCACCCCAACTCTAGGCATGGCCCAGGACCAAGAACAGAAGGTCAGGAGTGGGCAGGGGATAGGGATCAGCATGGGAGTGGGAGGAGGTTCACGGGCTCATCAGGATCAACCCTCTCATTTTACACATGAGGAAACAAGCCGAGATGAGAAGTGGCCTTACCTAAGTCACACAGTAAGAAAGTAGCAGAGTCAGGATTCAAACCCAGGCTCTCTCGACTTCAAATCCAATGTTCTTTCTACTGCTAGACCAGTTGCCTTTTCTGGCAGTGGGAAACGGAAAGGTGAGAAGTGGATGGGGATGGGGCCTGGGACAGTGATAGGAACCACACTGGAAATAAAAGTGGGAACAGTATAGCAATGGGACTGGGGATGGGAGATCAGAAAATCTCTCAATTCTGGGGCATCCGTGTTCCTTGGGGATCTAACCTCCCTCCAACCATCCAAGGCCAGGTACCTTCCTGGTCCTTGGCCTTCAATGTCTCCACTGTGGCCCCGGATTCTTAGCAAGCAGTGAGCTGGGGCTACCGGCCTAGCTCCCCTCTCCTGTGGCCAGAGTGGTTGATATCCAAAGGTTCCTGGGCCCCCAGGAGAAGCTCATCCCCTCACTCTTGATCCATCCCTGTTCTACAGCACCAAGATACTACCTGGCTTCTCTCATCTTAGTGGGGCCTTGGCCTTGGTGCTCTGGGGTGGGTAGAGGCTCTTATACTGGTGTACATTGGAGTGAGATGAACAGACAGCTTCCCGAGTCCTCAGGAAATCACTTCTGACAAGTGGGGATTAAAACAGTAGTAACGGGACATTTAAATATTTGTGACATGAGAGCAAAGTCCAGCCGAGATGAGGCTGGACCACAGGCTCTCCCCGAGCACAAGAGGCCCCTGCCTCTCATTGGCCCAGGGGAAGCTTCAGTTTTCTGAGGAACCTGCTTGGGTGTGGGGGTGGTCGCAAAAACACCTTCCTTGCCCACAGATAGCTTTGCCTCTATAGCCACACAGGCTCCGTGATCCATGATCAGTTACAAACATCTGACCAGCAGGTGTTGGGAGTCGGGAGCCAGACAATGCCCAGATTTGGAGCAGAAAGGAGGAGGCAGGCAGCTGATCCTGCCCCAGGCCATAATCCTCACCCTAAGATCATGGGATCCTGCCATACGCAGGGACACCTGGAGTCAGGTCCCTCAGAAGAGGAATGACAGGCCCAGGCAGCTGTCAGGGAGCAAATGCTGGTTTCTCCCAGATAAACTGTGCTCAGAGGGCCTTTGGGAATCCCAGGAGAGGCCCCTAATAATTGGGGTTTCAGCCTCTGGGAATGAGGGACAGCTATGAGGCAAGGAGAGCAGAGGTCTCCTCCCCACACAAAGCTCTCCCCAGCGAAAGTTATCTTTTGCCTTTCCCTTTCGATCAAAGGCATTTTACAAAGGGAGCTTTGGGTCTGAGTGGGGGGCAGGTGCTTGGGGATCAGCTCTGGCTGATTTCTCCCACTCCTCTCTTACCAGGTGGATTCCAAGGGCCAAGCTTTAGGCTGGACTTGCAAACCCATTGCTTGTGGCTCTTGGCCTGGGCCCTTGTGGTGCCACCCTGTTCCTCTGGGTCCTGGGAGTGAGGTCCCTGCCCTCTCTCAGGCCCTGGCAAGAATGCCCCGGCTGGTGGGGCAAGGACGTACTGGTCATACCCACTCCTGGACTGGCCGTTTGTAGTAGGTAACCTGCTGTTGTGCCCCCTTGTTCTTAAACTGGAATATGGTGTAGACGAGAACAAGGATGCAGAGGGATAGGGTACAGGGGATGATGACGGCCACAGCATTCACTGAACCAGGCACATCATCTATGGTGACCATGATGTCCACGTCGTCCTGGGGCCTGCGCCGCTCCTTCCTTCTCTCCACCTCCTTCTGGTTACAACCCATCCAGTCCCGCAGTATGGAGCGGGGGTAACCAGGTTCCACACTCAGCTTCTGGTTATCAAACTTCCAGTAGTCCCGGCCCTTGTAGAAATAGGTGTAATCTGAAGAGACAGAGCCAGGATCAAGACCCACCAGCTTTAGCGTGGGGTCATCTTCTGCTCCGAGGGCCCTCCTGCCAGCCTACATTTCACCCTTAACTCTGGAATCGCTTCCTTCTGCCCAGGGTAAGCCTCCCTCAGCCCGCAATCACTTTGAATTCAGAGGTCACTATTCTTAACTTAAAGTTACCCTTAATTCCAAGGTCCTTTTCTTTTTTCTTTCTTCTTCTTCTTTTTTTTTTTTTAGTGAGGCAATTGGGGTTGAGTGACTTGCCCAGAGAATCACACAGCTATGAAGTATTATGTGTCTGAGGCCGGATTTGAACTCAGGTCCTCCTGACTCCAAGGCCAGTGCTCTATCCATTGCACCACCTAGCTGCCCCTTTAAGGTCCTTTTCTTCATCTCAGGCTCACCACCCTCAGCCTTGGGTCACCCTTAACTCCAGGCTTACTGTCTTTAGCGTATAGTCACCCTCAACTTGAGAGTCCCCCCCACCAGCTTAAGGTCCCCTTTATCTCCAGAGTCACTGTCTTCCACAGCGGTCTTCTCTCAGCCTCCCTCAGGTCACCCTCAATTCTGCTGTCACAGACCTTAAGCCTAAGGTTACTCTTTAACTCTAGTGTCATTTTCCTCAGTGTTCATTCACCTCCTCCCTCAGGCTGGGGACACATGACTCTGATGTTACTTCTCTGACCTTGGGGGCATTGCCCTCCACTGAAAGTTACCTCTTACTCCATGGTCAGTGTTCTCTGCCCAGGGTTAGTGGCCTCAGTTGGCAAAATTTGTCTTGAGGGCTCAGTCTTTCCTGAACTCTTGAGTGCTTCCCCCTCCCCTTAATTTCCTTCTTCCCATTAATCTCAAAAGCCTCCAGTCACCCAGAGGTAGAATTTAGAATAGTACTCTAGGCAGAGGTGGGTGGGTTGTAAAGGGGAGTAGGCCCTTAGAACACTGTAAGCTAGAAGGAGGCTTAGAGGCTTTTTGGTACCCATCCCTTATTTTTTCACATGAGGAAGATAAGGCCTACAGAGAATAAGGGAGTTGCCCAAAGTAACATATCTATAGATTAACTGGCCAACCCAGGACTAGAATCTGGGTCTTATGATTCCCAGGCAACTATACACACACACACACACACACACACACACACACACACACACACACACACACATGCACACACACACAAATATATGTAGTTTTATATATATATATATATACATATATATATATATATATACACATAATATATATATATAGTGTTTTATATATTTTAGGGGGGGAGGGGGGAGGCAGTTGGGGTTAAGTGACTTGCCCAGGGTCACACAGCTAAGTGTCAAGTGTCTGAAGCCAGATTAGAACTTAGGTCCTACTGACTCCAAGGCCAGAGCTCCCAGGCAACTATTCTTTACGGATTCAAAAGGCAAATTCTCCAGAGCTCCCTCCAAAGGACTCCTTCCCCTACTCCTTCACTCCACCCCTCCGGTTCCCTAAGGACATGACCCAGTTTGGGCTCCTTCAGTGGTCTCAGTCTCTCCCAAATGACTTCACAAAAGCTAACGGACTGACTGCACACTAGAATTGATAGAAGAGAACATCACATTGTGTGGGGTCTGCCTTTGTGGGAGCTCAGAGAAGGGAGACTATTGTAGGCTTAGGAGTCAGGGCAGGAAAAGATGGTACGGGAAGTCTTCCTGAAGGAGATGACACTTGAGTTGGGCCTCGAAAGATAGGCATAGATTGGCAAAGATGGCAATCAGGACAGAAAGCGTCCTAGATGTCCAGAGGAGGTGTTGCCTATGTAACTTTGGTCAAGTCCCATGTTCTCCAGACCTCAGTTTCCTTTTCTATAAAATGAATGGGTTGAAATAAATAATCTCTAAGATTCCTTCTGGTTGTGAATCCTATGATCTTTCCAAGAAGCAAAGCAGTGAGCCTGAGGAATTGTTTCTCGTTTCCCGAGTCACACCGAGCTTCCCAGGGCAGGAACAGTGTACTACTATCCCACCACCCCCATCCTATCCACCCCCCGCCCGGAGCCCAGGGACTGGTTCAGGAGAGGCCCTGAACATGACTGCAGACCCAGGTCAGGACACTTACAGCCTTCTTTGCTGATGAAGGCCCCCTGGGGAGATTGGGGGATGCCCTTCCACACAGTGATTGGTTTGGGGTATCCAGGGTCAGTCGCCCGTCTCTCCTCATTGTAGCGCCAATACCACTCCCCTTTGAAAAAGTATGTCTTGCCCACAGGCTCCCAGCGCAGGGCTGTGTCTATGCCCTCCCGGGGCAGGCAGGTACCCAGCTCTCCCAGGCTCTGAGGGTATCCGGGCTCCACACTCACCTCCTTGAAGACCCAATATTTGTCACCTGTGAATGGAGGAACCTGGTGTCAGGGACTAGCTATTCCAGACCCACGTCCTAATCCCTAAGTTCTGGCTCTAGGCCCTTGGGCCCCTTTTCTTCTCAGCCCTGGGCAACGGAGCCCAGGAAGTCAGTGACTCCCTCCCCCTGTGGACAGAGTCCTATCTAGGACATTGGACGTAAGGGCAAGACAAAAGATGAGATACAAGGTCTGCCCTTACAGAGCCGGGGGACAGATACAAATAACTGGAAAATCATGATGCACTGCCTTGGGGCTGGTCTTCTGTTGGCTCCCCCTCAATCATTAATTCATCTCGTTTATCAGGTCCACAAACATTATGCCCCAACCTTGGGCCGCCCCTCTGGCTTAGCCCATAGTTCTTCCTCAGCTCTTCTCTCTCTACAATCATTCACTGTGCAAAGTCATTTACTCTCACAGTTTCACATGTCACCTCTATTCTTGACCCTGAAACCTATCTCCAGCCCTGTCCCCTCTCTCTCAAAGCTCCAGTCCCATATCTCCTCCTGCCCCTCAGACTCAGGGAGTGCATCTAAAACGGAACCCCTCACCCTCCCCTCAAACTGACCCTGTGCATCCCCATCTCCCTGTTTCTGCTGCTGGCACCCCTTCAATGTCCTCTTGTTACCCAGCCTCCAACCACACTGTCATCTCGGACTCTTCCTTCTCTCTCACCCAATTTGTTTAAACCTCTTCTCAGACAAAAAATAAGCCTGCTGAAGTATATTCCTTCTCCAAAGTCTTATTGGCAGTAATAATTGTGAAAATCGTTCACAATTCTAGAGTATTTTAAAGATTAAAAGGTGCTTGCCTTACAACAAACCCATTTTAGAGATGAAGAAACCTACTCAGAGAAGAGCTTTTTGCCAGCACACACAAGCTAGGAAGTGGCAGTGCTGAGCCTGAAATCTGGGTGTCCTGATTCCAAGTACTCTTTCCATCAGGTAGTTCATTTCTTTTCTTGAAATCAAGATGGTTCTGGAAGATCTTGAATGCATATCTGTCATACTTTTGTCTAATCTCTTACCACCCAGTCTTGTTTTTTTCTTTCTTCTTTGTTTCTTTCAGATTTGTCACCTCCTCTTCACCCCTCCTGTCCCATCCTCATCACTTCTCAACTGGACTATTAAATGGCTTCCTCTTCCCATCCCTCCTACACCTACTGACAGTCATTTTTTTCCCCCCAGATCTGAGCATGTCTCTCCTTTGCTCAGAAACTTTCAATGGCTCCCCATTGCTTTTATTCGATAAAGTCCATATGCTTCAGTCTGACATTTTAGACCCTCCATTTTCTGGTCCCACCCTATTTTTCTAGCCTTGCCTCCTATTCCCTCTTACTCAAACCCTCCATTCCAATCAGGCTGGTCTCCTTCACGTGCTCTGAATATGTCACCAGGCTGCCTCTGGCCTCCATGCTTTTGCCCACGCTGTGACTCTTGCCTAGAGTGCCCTCCCTCTCTTTGTTCCTCTCCCCTTCCTCAAATCCTACCCATACTTCAGGGTCCTGCTCATAATCAAATAAGACAGTGTATATAAAGTACTTTGTAAAATTTTAAAGCACTATAGAAAGTTAGTCATTATTATCATTATCCACTGAAAACAATGATTCCTATCACTTTAGATTATTATTAAATATTATTGCTTTTTATAATGATATCCTACCTCCTCCATAGCAATCTCTCCCACCTCTTGGAACCATAAAGTTGATCTCCCTTAACTGCTTTGGACTTGGACCCTCTCTGACCCCAGCAACCTGGCGCTCAAATATGTCTCATTACATCTTTTCTTGTTCTCTAAGAGATCCATGTCCCTAAGTCTTATTGCCCTCCATATATGTGAACTCTCTGAGGACAGGACTGCAGGTCTGCTCTTTCTATCTCTTTTCCAGATTGTTAACAACAAAGTGATATAATGGAACACAGTACTAGGCACAACAGGAAATTCTATAAATACTGGTTGACTTGTTCACGGTCAGTCGAGTGTTAGGTTTACTCCCGCAAGGCTGAGGAGGAAGACACCCAAATACCTTTGAAGAAGACAAATCGCCCATCAGACCTCTCATAGGCAGCATCGATGCGAGCTGGTAATCCCTTCCAGAACTGTTCAATTTGCATGGGATAGCCCTCCTGAACCCGATTATTCCGCAAACGCCAAAACCAGCGGTCCTGGGGGAAAAGGGTGGACTCTGGGGGAGGGAGCCCACACTAGCCACACCTTGGCCCCCCAACCTCCAGAAGCTCCATAGAATGGGTAAGGGAACTCTTCGTCACCTCAGAGGACCCCATCCTAATAATCTGTTCGATGCATCTGGGCAGTGCATTGCAACTCCTAGGAGGAAAACAGGACTGGAATTCTTCTCCCCATTTTACAGATGAGGAGACAGCAGTCCAGAGAACAGAAGGCTTGTGTCAAAGTTTACACACCGGGTTAGCAGCAAAGCCACAATGAGAACCGGTCAGAGGTTCGGACCCCAAGGCCAAGACTCTTACTTCCTCCCAGCCCAAAGCCCTTTCCCATTTCCCTGACTGGGGGATCTGTCAAGGGCACAGGTTAGCAACTCCAGCCAGGCATACCTTGAATACAAACATCTCGCCCCGGAAGAGAGCCACAGTGTTGAAGTTGCCATCACAGATGTTGGGCTTTGTACCCGGGGTGGATGGCCGGTCTCCCAGTGGTGGCCTTGGGGGCCTGGGTTGACGCTCGTGCTTCCTCTCTGGGGAGTGGATCCGGCGGGCTGGCAGTGTGGGGAGGGGTCGAGTGGGCTCCAGGGGCTCAGCAGGAGGACCTGGAGAGAGAAAGAAAGAGAGACAGAGAGAGACAGACAGACAGACAGAGACGGAGAGAAATTGAAGGACAAGCTTCTTAAATGAATGAAAAGCAGCAACCCCTTAGACAGGAGCTAGGATGCCCATGTTCTAGTCTTGAGTTTGCCTCAAGTTAGCTCTGTCACTTATGGGAAGTCCCTTTGCCTCTTTGGTTGGACTCCTTATCTCCTCTGGGAAATGGGGACAGTAGCCCTTGACTCCCAGTGGAGGTGAAATTCAAAGAACTTTCTACCCATTCTATTATCTAATTCTTACCACAAACCTGAAAGGGAACAGATGTGCAAAGAAACAATGTGACAAAAATGTAAAGAAAAGTACCATCAAAAGGCATCGGAACTCTGATTAATGGTGATAAACCATAACTTCAGAGGACTAATGATGAGCCATCTCCCTCCTCCTGACAGAGAGGTGGGGGACTATAGGTAAGGAATGGAAGCATTCATTCTTAGACATAAGTTTGTTTTGCTAGGCCAATGTGACAGTTTATTTTGTTTAATTATACTTCTGAAACGGCGGTGGTTGGGAAGTGACAGCAACATAAAACAAAAAAGGCATCACTTAGACTTTTTTTTTTAAATGAAGGACATGACTTACTCCTGGTCACATTCTCAGTAAGTGGCAGGATCAGAGCTAAGGTCTCTTGACTCTTAGACAAGGGCTCTTTCTACTTCAAAGTCCACTCAGCCCAAGCTAGCACTGGATATTAACAATTTCTCTTCTGGAGGTACCCGGTGTCAACTCAAGTCCTTTTGTGTTTCTCACCCACCTTAGAATCACAGAAATTTAGAACCGAGAGGAACCTTAGGGGACATCCACTTCAACCTGTCCCTGAACAGGAATGCCCTTGACACCCAGGCATCATCTAACTTCTGCCTAAAGACCTGCTTCAAGTGTTAGGGAACTTACTACCTCCCAAGGCAGCTTATTCTACTTTGGGCCAGCTCTTCGTTGTTAGAAATTTTTTCCTTTTATTGAGCTGAAATCTGTCTCTAATTTCTCTCCATGGCTCCTAGTTCTGACCTTGGTGCCTCATAGAAGAAGGCCCCATAACCACCCTTTGTATACTGGGGACATATTTCCCCCCCAAGCTCCCCTCTACTAACCATAGATCTTCTGGATTCCCTGCAGGTCATCCTGGGGCAGCTTGAAGCTGTGTGTCTCCATGTACTGGTAGAAGGGGGCCATGATGGCGCTGGGGTCATTAGAATGCTCCAGTCCCAGTGCATGGCCCAGCTCGTGCACAGCTACCAGGAAGAGGTCGTTTCCTGCAGGGACAGATGACAGCACCGGTCAGTTGCCTGAATACCCTCCAGGGGCAATGAGGGACAGCTTCCAGGGATTCAGCATCCTGGCTCAGCCAAGTTCTGTGACTTATTCAGTCATGTACCTTTGGCTTGGCCCAGTGGTAGAAAAGACAGGTAGAGCTACCCCAGAGAAAGCACTTCAACCCACCCAAATGTGAGCATCAAAGGGCACAAAAGATTCATTTTATCATACAAATGGGGATAATGTAGTGGTGTGCAGGTAAAAGTTTAACAGCCAGCTCTCTGGGGGAGAAATGGACTCATGACACACTTTTTAGTGTAATCTGCATTACTCACATTTCTCCATCACTTTCTAAAGTCTAGACGATCGACAAAACAATAAATCAAAGCTTGATTTTGTAGTGTTTGTCAATTTCTGATATGTAAATGCTCACTAAAAATTTAACAATGCTTCTCTTCCCCTCCCACCATTTCTGCCAATTAACTGCATGCTCAGCTATCACTTTTCCCTTGAAGCCTTCTGTGATTTCCCAGTTGGAAGTAGTTTCTCCCTCATTTGATCTCGTAGCACTTCTATATATATCTCTGATACACTTTATTTTTTGGACCTATAATTTTGCTGGTACCATTGGGCACCCCTAGTGAGGAAACTCCTTTCTGCCAATGCCAAATCTCCAACTACACTTCAACTTATAGTCTTAGAGAATATTACTGGGACACTGAGAAGGTAAGTGAAAGAAGTCCAGGGTCACTAGGCCAGTATGCATCAGAGGAAGGACGTGAACCCAGGTCTCCCTGATTCTGAGACCAGCTCCCTATCCACTGCTCTAGGCTGCCCCTCTCACTCACATGTATTTGTCATATGTAAAATCCGCAACCCCCTTAGATGTGTTTGCGTCTTATCCCCTCTCCTAGGCTGCAAGCTCCTCGAAGGCAGAGGCCATGGCTTTTTTATCCATATATCTCCTCCAGTGCCCAGCACAGTGTTCTGCATACTTTAGTAAGAGCGTAGGCTCTCACTAAATGTTTGTGAAATGAGTGAGTGGATGAAATTTGGAGACTAGAGAAGAGCAGCAAGTAATGTTGATCACAAGAATAATCTGGATTATAATTATTCGTGGCCATGTCCTATTTTCCCAACTAGAGGCTGTACAGCCAGAGCACAAAGGCCAATTCCACTTTGTCTTCCCCTCAACACCAAGCACTAAGCTTTGATGCGTGACTACCATTCCATGGATTTCATGGAGGTCTTATTTGTTTACTGAGCTAGCTGTCTTGTTTTCTGTCTCCTTTCATGCCACTGCTCCTTTAGTCCAGGGCAACTGTGTCAAGAAAGAAAAGGCTATTTATTAATAGGTAGTACTGCCCTTAATCCTGGGCAGGCAGGGGGACTGTGCTCCAGGCCTCATACCTCTAGGGATTCTGAGTTTTGGAGGAACCTACTCATCCTGGGCACAAAAAAATTGAGATAAAAGTGAAATATGAACAATAAAACAAAATAATTACAAATAGTTACACAAACAAGTGAATGTTATCTTATATGTAGGGGGTATGAGACTATCTGAATATACCTAAATTAAGCCTGCCAGTTGTCCTGGATTAGAAGAGATAGTTCCAGATTCTGATAGCCCTGGATCCCCCATTTGGTGAATGTTCCACATTCACCCAACCTGTTCTGCTTGCCCCGAATTTTCAGCTAGCTTAAGGGATTGTAGGTGATCACTCATTTCTAAATGTCATTAGTCACTTGAAAGTATAATGTGTACTATTAATGAATCTGTTGTTATGGATGAGAAATTGAATAATAACATAAATACATACCAACATGCACAACAGTGATTTGTAGACTAGACCTTTATTCATCATTCTAAAATACTACCATGTAAGAGATACTATACTACATTATGAGATACTACTGTGTAATGTGATCAAGGCTGATGCTATGTTAGCAGTTAGTTGCAGTAAAAAAGAAAACAACAAAAAACTTGTCTGGACAACATTGACAGTAATATTCCGATTTTCTGAGTTGATGTGAGTACCAAAACATTGTTGCTGAATTTAGGAATCTTCTTTTGACATCTCATGTACATTTCAGGTTTAAAACATGAAAATGTAGTACAGTACAGTTTGAAAATATTTAAATATCAGTATTAGTAGTATGCTCTCTATATTCTGAGCAGTTAACAGCTTTTGATATCCTGTATTTGCTCTAAGAATTTTTAATTTGTACTTTATTAGTTGCTGAAAAATTCTAGGTGCTTTCCCTAAATTCTTAATAATTCACAAAATAAGCCACTATTTCTTCAAATTTGTTCTGTACATACATCATAGTCATTAATGCTATAGCTATAGCTATAATAAATTAAATTTAAAAATTCTCCCATCTAAAGAAGGGATAGATTGATAGTCACCATCAAAATGCACATGTAGGCGAGCTCATTGTATTGTATAGGACGGTATCTTCTGTTATGTAATGTTATGCTAAACTATGGATAGTTTTATATATATACATGTATTTTAATTTATATGTTTATATTTTAATTTTGTACTTTTTGTGTCTGTATGTTTTAACTGTCATAAACAAAAGTGCAAAAACACAAAGTTAAGTGCAATTTTTGAATATGAAAATGTTGTTAGAAGTTTGTTAATTAATAAACTAAGTATTTAAACTAAGTAATCCTTAGGAATAAGTATTGACACTTGAAATGTAATTTCCATTTCATTTAATTTCCTTAAATTATTATTGCGATGTACTTTCTATATCCAATACAAAATGATTGTTATATAAATTTCAAGCATTGTTGTTCCTGAGGTTTCAAAAATTAGGGCTCTATGAAATGTAAAGATAGGAACGACATTCTATTCTCTGATTTATTTGTACCGCCAACACAACAAATAATATTTTTTTAAAAATAACCATTTAAACTTTAGTGTAAGATGGAACAAAAATTATCTTTGAAATGATCTATATCATGAAAATAAATATCAATACTTCTATGAAGGGCCTTTTCCCCAAAAAACGCATCTAATTGAATTCCAACCTATGATAAAATTTCTATGCCTTGTGTTTTATTCTTTGATATAACACAGCTGCAAAAAGTACAACACTTTTGGTTTTGCTTAGGATGTGAGTTTTTGGGGAGTGATAGTAGACTGTTCAATATATTCTACCTTATAGGTATCAATTGTCTATTGGTATTGAAAACATTTTCCGAAAATGAAGCTATGGGTATTTTTTTGTTTGTTTGTTTGTTTTTAGGCAATTGAGGTTAAGTGACTTGCCCAGGGTCACACAGCTAGTAAGTGTCATGTGTTTGGTCTGAGGCCAGATTTTAACTTAGATGCTCTATCCACTGCACCACCTAGCTGCCCAAGCTATGGCATGTGGGGCACATTGAGGGACTGCAAGTAGTGAAAGAGTGTTGTTATTTGTCCTTTGTTCCAGAAGAGGAAGATGACATCCGGAAGGTGATGCCATGACATCCAGAAGGTGATGCCATGACATCCAAGTGACTTGGATTTAAGTGAGTGAAAGCAGTGCAAAGTCATCAGCCTCACTCTCTCCTTGGTGAGTGATCAAGATGCAAAGGGTTCTCCTGGAATATGTGTGGAATAGTGTTATGAATAGCTGGGAGGAGATGAGAAGATGTTGTTAAGAATGTAGCCACCACTGACATTGTCAGACACTGTTAGCACTGTTGCCAAGCCCTTCGGTATTTACTGTGCCTTCTAACTCCAGCAGCTCACGCTGTGACACTCCTCAGAGTAATATATGTAGCCCAGGGACGTGGAGAAGTCCACCTACAACAGCTCAGCTTCCTTTCCTGACCCAAGATCTCACCTAACTCTTGCCCTTCCTTTTGACAATACAGCCAGTTCTGAGGGGAAGGTGAGGGTTTGGGATCAGTCTAGAAACATAAGACCAGAAGCCTGGACTAGTTAGAGGGGGAGGGATAGTGGTGTCCTCATGAGGTTTTGCGTGGTTTTTTTAAATTTATTGCTGAATTTTGCTTTGAAACATCATGACAAATCTCCAGTATACTTCCAAATGAATTCTCCAAAATGTGCAATTCCTAAAAACGATTAAGTAAATCAACTTGAAAGAGTGCATTAACTGATAGTTGTTCAGTCATTTCAGTTGTGTCCATATCTTCATGCCCCCATTTGGAGTTTTCTTGGCAGAGATACTAGAGTGATTTGCCATTTCCTTCTCTAGCTCATTTTACAGATGAGGAAACTGAGGCAAACAGGGTTAAGTGACTTGCTCAAGGTCATACAGCTAGTGAGTGTCTGAGGTCAGATTTGAACTAAGGAAGATGAGTCTTCCTGATTCCAAGCCCAGTGCTTTAACTAACCACTGTACTACCTACCTACCCCAACCATTATTAGTTTTCCATTTGTTAAAAGGAAGGATATAGCCATACATCATATGTTAATAACATGCTTTTGATCTGACCTTTGTTGCCATTTAAAATTATCTTTAGGGGAGGGGGAGGGATATGTTGCGAAAGGTAAGTGCTGTAAAAAAAAAAGATATCAATAAAAATTTATTTTCAAAATAGCTGTCTATGTCATTGGAGTCATTGCATATAATGTCCTTTTATATTTGTCTTTAGTCCAACTGGTATCACTTAACACAAGTCTTGCCGTATTTTTTCTAAAATCTTCCTACCATTGTTCCTTATGGCTCAGTAATATTTCATCTACAGAGAATAAGGAAATTGATGGCACACATGGAACTTAACAGCTGAAAAAAGTTTAGGTGAGGCTGGAGTAGAGGAGAAAATGACCACAGATTTCAAGCTGGAAGAAACCTCAGAAGCAGCATGGTTCCAACCCCCCCCCCTACTCTCCAAATTTACATATGAAGAAACAGGTACAGAGGTCAAATAATTTGCCCGAGGTCACCCAGGTCATCAGCTCCAGTGGTAGATTTTGAACCGGGGTTCACTGATTCCAAAGTCAGTGCTCCCTCCATTGTCATCATGGAATTGTGAGAT